TTGTCCTCTATTAAAACCTCAAAAATTTATGCCAGGCAGTGTGCTGGGATGTGTAAAGGGAGTTGTGAACGACCTACCCTGTGCAGATGTCTTGATAAAATTTTCAAATCCGAACAATGTGTCCTATGTCTGGTCTGTTCACCTTGTGTATTGCAAAATCCATTTAAATTTCTTCCTCTGTAGAGTTTGAGAAGCTGAAGGCTACTAAGAAGTTCGTTAGATCTAAAATTTGAACATTGCCAGCATAGGAATCTTGTGCAACCCTTCGCACACTCGAATAGGAGGCAGAGAGAGTGTGGATCGTCCGGTCAGCCGAATTATGGTGGAAGCCAGAGAATTGATTGTCCCACTGTGCAATGCTAACGAGGCCTACGTCGCCATATATGAAAGCGCGAAACAGCATCGGTGGATACAGAAAATTCTCCTTATACGTCCTTACAATACTTAAATACTATAAATGAAAACTTAATGCAGAAATAGTTTCAGTATTTTAACAATTAATGTACTGAGCGCAATCTACATGTTTCTAAGTTTACGGGATACATGTCATTTTTAATGCTATTTTTATTAAATGACTAGAGGGTAATAGAAACATATTTCACTTGAATCTAGAGAAGCCAAAGAAAATAAAAAACCAGATGTGAAATTAGCTCTACAGCCATGAGGCCAGAAAACTCTGAGGGGAGAGGGGAAGATGAAAAGTATCAGAATCATCATCGTTGAATAGGGGGATGTTTCAGTATGTTGGCTGGGCTGGTCTCAAACTCCTGACTTCAGGTGATCCACCCGCCTTGGCTTCCCAAAGTGCTGGGATTACAGGTGTGAGCTACTGTGCCCAGCCTGAAAATTTTCAAAATCCGAATTCTTGTTTCCCTTTTGATCAAATCATTTAAATTTCTCCCCTCTGTAAAATGAAGATACTAGATTGTTAGATCTAAAATTTGAAATTCCACATCATTGTGAAACTCCAGTCCTGTGAAAGGATTCAGAGTATTTTCTCTATGGATTATGGGTTGATGGCATCATCTTCCTATGTAAGGAGTAGCTGGCATATTGAAAGATACATGTGATACAAAATTTCAGTTTTTCTTCTTTATACTTTAATGAATTGCCAGATTATTTTAATAATGAGCACATGTTTTTATACATGTACATTTTTAATGTCTATTTTTATTATGAAAGAAGTAGATAAGCTATTTCCACTTTGGAAAAACAAGAGCAAAAAATAAATAAACCAGTCTGAAAACTATGGGTGGTAGCAGGAAACAGCCACTTCCAGTCAGCTGTGCTGCCACTGTGGTGATCAAAGCGTACTTTGTGTTCCAGAATTCCAGTTTTAAGACTTTAAACAGGCCAGGCGTGGTGGCTTACTCCTGTAATCCCAGCACTTCAGGAGGCTGAGGCGGGTGGATCACCTGAGGTCAGGAGTTTGAGACCAGCCTGGCCAACATGGTGAAACCCCGTCTCCACTAAAATACAAAAATTAGCTGGGCGTGGTGGCAGCTGCCTGTAATCCCAGCTACTGTGGAGGCTGAGGGATGAAAATCGCTTGAACCCGGGAAGTAGAGGTTGCAGTGAGCCGAGATTGTGCCACTGCACTCCAGCCTGGGTGATAGAGTGGGCTTTGTTTCAAAAAAAGAAAAAAAAGAAAGAAAAACTTGAAACATAAGTAGTCCACTATTGATACTGTGTATGGAGAATAAATGAGTTCCTATGACTTGTACCTTCAATTTTGTAAATGATTTTCAAAATTATTTCTGCAAATTATGTCGGCATAGTTTTTAAAAAATAAGCAGTAATATATAGTCACTCTTAATAGAACCTATTTGTACTCTCTCTCTCTTTACCCATAAGAAACAAAAAGGAAACAAGAAAATGTCATTCTCCATACCCCACCAGCTTTATTATCTTTGAGGAAGGAGCATTGAATTTTATGTCTGCTAAGGATATATATGTAGTCATTTTCTCTCACCTTTTAGGGAATATCCACCTATCACTTCAGATCAACAAAGACAACTGTACAAGAGAAATTTTGACACTGGCCTACAGGAATACAAGAGCTTACAATCAGAACTTGATGAGATCAATAAAGAACTCTCCCGTTTGGATAAAGAATTGGATGACTATAGAGAAGAAAGTGAAGAGTACATGGTAAATTCAACCTGATATTTGTATATTATGCAGAATTTGAATCTTATCTGTGGAGGCACAGCATCCTTTATATTAATGTTGATTAAAATGTGCTAGTAATTATCAAACTGCAGTTTCATTGAAGAATAGTTGAGATTGGGTTTTGGATGAAATTCTTTTCTAATAGAAGACTGAACTAATGTATAATAGTTAAGAATTTCAAAGCACTATTCCTTTTTTTTGAGGCAGAGTCTTGCTCTGTCGCCCAGGCTGGAGTGGCGCGATCTTGGCTCACTTCAAGCTCCGCCTCCGGGGTTGACACCATTCTCCTGCCCCAGCCTCCTGAGTAGCTGGACTACAGGTGCCTGCCACCACCACGCCTGGCTAATTTTTTGTATTCTTTTTTTTGGTAGAGACGGGGTTTCACCGTGTTAGCCAGGATGGTCTCGATCTCCTGACCTTGTGATCGCCCACCTCAGCCTCCCAAAGTGCTGGGATTTCAGGCATGAGCCACCGTGCCCAGCCCCTACAAAGCACTATTCTATGTACATCAATGCTTTCCTATTTAAAATAGCCAGGCTGGGCATGGTGGTTTCACGGCTATAATCCCCACACTTTGGGAGGCCAAGGCGGGTGGATCACCTGAGGTCAGGAGTTTGAGAATAGTGTGGCCAACATGGCGAAACCCCGTCTCTACTAAAAATACAAAAGGGAGGTTGCAGTGAGCCAAGATTGCGCCATTGCACTCCAGCCTGGGCAACAGAGTGAGACTCCATCTCAAAAAAAAAAAAAAAAAGAAAAAGAAATCACCTTAAATCCTACCATCAAGAAATCCTTATCACCAAAATATTAGTTGTTAAAACAATCTCTCCAAGCAGGAGTCACCGAGGTACATATAACTTTCTCTAAGGAAACATCATCTATCATCTTCCATGTTCCACTTACTTTCTTCCTGTCTTTTAAATCAACAGTTTATAGTTATCTTTTTTTTCCTCCCTTGATCACCTGGCTGAGATAGAATTTGTCCATGTAGAGTTACTGGGTTTTGTTTTTTTTTTTAATCCATCCTTTTCATACTGTATTTTGTATACGTACTGAAATTAATGTAGGGCATGGTGGTGGACACCTGTAATCCCAGCTACTCGGGAGGCTGAGGCAGGAGAATTGCTTGAACCTGGGATGGGGGAGGTTGCAGTGAGCCAAGATTGCGCCATTGCACTCCAGCCTGGGCAACAGAGTGAGACTCCATCTCAAAAATAATAATAATAATAATAAAATAGCCCTATTATCTTTCCTATTTATAAAGCCATTCTTTCTGTAGAAAAGAACTTAACACAGAATTGTATACAGAAAAAGAAATCACCTTAAATCCTACCATCAAGAAATCCTTATCACCAAAATATTAGTTGTTAAAACAATCTCTCCAAGCAGGAGTCACCGAGGTACATATAACTTTCTCTAAGGAAACATCATCTATCATCTTCCATGTTCCACTTACTTTCTTCCTGTCTTTTAAATCAACAGTTTATAGTTATCTTTTTTTTCCTCCCTTGATCACCTGGCTGAGATAGAATTTGTCCATGTAGAGTTACTGGGTTTTGTTTTTTTTTTTAATCCATCCTTTTCATACTGTATTTTGTATACGTACTGAAATTAATGTAGTTACACCACCTTTTAGAGGGAGATTAGTCTCTTCTTGTTTATTTGTTCCTTTATTGATCAATCACTTACGTAACTATGGACTCATGGATATCTGTTTCATACTGTGAGTTATAATCCAAGGCTGCTTTACTTTGTAGCTCTAATTGTTCTCACTTTGACCGTTGGGAACTCTTTCAGTTGCTTCCTGTGTCCCTTTGATGTACTCTTATCATTGTGGTGTTTTATCTTTAAAAAAAAAACAAAACAAAACTTTCTTGCACTGCTTATTTCTGGCTTTTCTTAACAGCAAATTTTTTTTATATCAGTAATAAAGACCTACTTAGTTTTAAGTTTTTTATGTGTAAAATTAGGTAAACAACTTTCAATTTTATGGTTGCATCATAATTTAAGAGTCATTTTCTATGGATAGACATTTAAGTATGTCTCCCCCTACTCCAGTAGTACCAGTAGGTACTGGTGAACCTCTCCATTTTTGTACTCTTGTCTGCTTATCTAGTTTTGTTTTGTTTTTTTTTTTTTTTTGAGACAGAGTCTTGCTCTGTCGCCCACACTGGAGTGCAATGGCTCTATCTTGGCTCACTGCAACCTCCGCCTCCCAGGTTCAAGTGATTCTTCTGCCTCAGCCTCCCAAGTAACTGGGATTATAGGCATATAGCACCACACCTGGCTAATTTTTGTATTTTTAGTAGAGACGGGGTTTTGCCATGTTGGTCAGGCTGGTCTCGAACTCCTGACCTCAGGTGATCTGCCTGCCTCGGCCTCCCAAAGCGCTGGAATTACAGGTGTGAGCCACAGCGCCCAGCCTGCTTATCTAATTAAAACTAATTCCAGAATGTGAAATTGCTGAGAGTCAGAGGGTATGTATCTTTAAACTTCTGTTGCAAAATTGCCCTCCAGAGAGATTGCACTAACTGCGTCTCCCTCCTGATACAATACAGGGCTCATTTGATGCACATGTCACTTACACCTGAAAAATGAGATATTCTGCCATTTTTCAGTTGAAGTGATCTGCTTTTTAGTTTTGATATATTCACATCTTTGTATAGTTAAATTTATGTATTTTATGGTTTCTATAGGGTGTTATAGATCTTTCTTAATTTAGTGAACATGTATTGATCACTTATTGCTCTTTGATGTGGAAATGCTGAGGTTAGATATATAAAATCCTGTCCCCACCCTCAAAGAGCTCATATTTTAAGAAAAAACCTGACATCTAACCAATTTAGACAATATGATTAATGCTGTATTTGTATCATGTGTAGAAAGCACTATAACTTAACTGCTCATAGGAGAAATAAAGTCTTTCGAGGCTTCACAGTGAGGGAATCATTAAGAATTTTCCAGACAGAAGGGTGCGGGGAGGTGCATGATTTCAGCCATAAGGAAAACATGATCAAAATCTTGAAGCATTTAACATGTTTCAGTTTTTAAAGGAGTTGCTGATGATGGGTGCTGAGACTGGAAAGGTAGGAAACTGGATGAAGAGAGAAGTTAATGGGAAGCTCAGACCAGTTGGGTAGTGGGATATTACCTGATCAGCGCTCAGTGTTTGAAAAGATCTTCCTGGTGTCATTGTAGCATGGGGACTGGCATGAGGAGAGATGAGAAGTAGCAGAACAGATAGTTACCTGCCTGTGTGAGTGGAATGTGAAAGATACAGTATCATAAATATCTCTTCACTGAATTCCTTCAGACCTTCCTGCTGATCATGAGTTTTAAGAGCTTTATGACTTTGTTCTTTTAATTGCTTATATTTTTGTCATAAGCTGTCACTTTTAGCTCCAAAGTATAACATCAGGAATGTTACTTTTGAAAGATAAAATGCCCCAGTAAACATATTCCTTTGTGTCTCTCATTAATAGGCTGCTGCTGATGAATACAATAGACTGAAGCAAGTGAAGGGAGTAAGTATCCGAGATCGTTCTTGTAGGAAGAACTTTCCTTTTCTTCTTTTTCTTTTAATTCCCATACCTACTCATCTGGAGGAAGAGCTTTTTTATTACGTGTTTTTCATTTTTTATTTTATGTATTTTGTAAAAGTTGAAGTATACATACAGAAAAGTGTACAAATCAAAGTGTATAACATGATGAATTTTCACAATGTGACCACATACCTGTGTATGCAGATCAAGAAATGTATTTCCCAGTACCTCCCCACCCCCTGCTTGTACTCCTTTCCAGGGTTTACACTCTCTGCAGAGGGGTCCACCATGCTCACTTTTAACATTATAGAGTTTTGTCTCTCTTGCACATTACATAAATGGAACCATACAGTATGTATTTTGTGTGTGATTTCTTTTGCTCAGTATGGTGTTTGTAAGGGTCCATTCATGGTTCATTACTATTTTTTTGTTTTAGACGGAGTCTTGCTCTGTTGCCCAGGATGGAGTGCAGTGGCGCAATCTTGGCTCACTACAACCTCCGCCTCCCAGGTTCAAGCAATTCTCCTGCCTCAGCCTAGCTGGGATTGCAGGCACACACACACGCCTGGCTAATTTTTGTATTTTTAGTAGAGACAAAGTTTTGCCATGTTGGCCAGGCTGGTCTTGAACTCCCAACATCAGGTGATCCGCCTGCCTTGGCCTCCCAAAGTACTGGGATTACAGGCATAAGCAACCATGCCCGGCCATGGTTCATTAATTTTTTTTTTTTGAGAGGGAGTCTCACTCTGTCGCCCAGGCTGGAGTGCAGTAGCATGATCTCAGCTCACTGCAGCCTCTGCCTCCTGGGTTCAAGCAGTTCTCCTGCCTCAGCCTCCTGAGCTGCTGAGATTACAGACAAGCACTACCACACCCGGCTAATTTTCCTATTTTTAGTAGAGATGGGGTTTCACCATGTTCGCCAGGCAGGTCTCAAATTCCTGGCCTCAAGTGATCCACCTGCCTCAGCCTTCCAAAGTGCTGGGATTACAGGCATGAGCGACCACGCCTGGCCGGTTGATTAATTTTTATTGCTGTGTAGTGTTGTATATAAAACGCAACTTTATTCATCCATGCTATTGAACATTTGGGTTGTTCCCAATTTTTGGTATTTAAAAATATCACAGCTTCAAACCTATTTGTAAATGTTTGAACATAGAAGTGATGGGCATTTGTATATCCAGTGCTAGTAGATACTGTCAAATGGCCTTCCAAAGTAGTTGTACCAGTTTACTTTCCCATCAACCACTACAGACTCCTATTGCCCTATATCGTTGCTAACACTTGTGGCATGTCAGTCACTATTGACTTAAAACATTAACAAAAATTATATTAAAATTTTTGTAAATTACTTATCCAGGTGCTGTGGTACGTGCCTATAGTCCTAGCTACTAGGGAGACTGAGGCAAAAGGATCCCTTGAACCCAGGAGTTCAGAGCTGCAGGGAGCTATAATTGTACCACTGCACTCCAGCCTGGGCAATAGGATGAGACCCTTTCTAAAAACAACAACAAAAAATTATCAATTACAGGCATCATGATTTGCAATAAGAGTTTAAAGGGTATGCAGTAAAATTTCCCATCTCGCTTATCCCCTATTCAGCTTCCCTTTCCCCAGTCAACTGAGATCACCAGTCTCTTGTTTTACTTACAGTTTTAGATGATGTGTTAGCAAAAAGGCTGATAAGTTTTCTTGGTCATTTTACAGATTTTTAGAAATGGGGTATCCTTTTTAAAAACCCAGGTTAGAAGACAGAACTGAGCAAACAGAATCAGCTGCCTGTGTGGTTAGTGATACTGCCAGGCACCTTGAGTATATTACTTCAATTAACACTCCCAACAATTCTCTGACTAAATATTCCATTTTTTTGTTCACCTCTGCCTTCCCAGCAGACCTGTTTTTATTTTGTTGAATTTATGTGATTCATTTTCTCCCTTTTTAGTCTGCAGATTACAAAAGTAAGAAGGATCATTGCAAGCAGTTAAAGAGCAAATTGTCACACATCAAGAAGATGGTTGGAGACTATGATAGACAGAAAACATAGAAGGCTGATGCCAAGTTGTTTGAGAAATTAAGTATCTGACATCTCTGCATTCTTCTCAGAAGGCAAATGACTTTGGACCATAACCCAGGAAGCCAAACCTTGTGAGCATCACAAAGTTTTGGTTGCTTTAATATCATCAGTATTGAAGCATTTTATAAATAGCTTTTGATAATCAACTGGGCTGAACACTCCAATTAAGGATTTTATGCTTTAAACATTGGTTCTTGTATTAAGAATGAAATACTGTTTGAGGTTTTTAAGCCTTAAAGGAAGGTTCTGGTGTGAACTAAACTTTCACACCCCAGATGTTGTCTTAATACCTACATGTATTTGTTTGCATAGGTGATCTCATTTAATCCTCTCAACCACCCTTCAGATAACTGTTATTTATAATCACTTTTTTCCACTTAAGGAAACTGGGTTCCTGCAATGAAGTCTCTGAAGTGAAACTGCTTGTTTCCTAGCACACACTTTTGGTTAAGTCTGTTTTATGACTCCATTAATAATAAACTCCCTGGCCTTTCATATTTTAGATACTATATATGTGATGATCTACCAGCCTCCCTATTTTTTTCTGTCATATAAATGGCTAAAAGAAGTTTTTCTTAAATAATAAAGATCATGTAAAAGTAACAAATGTGTGAAATTTAAAGATTGTAAATATACATTTACTTTTTTAAGATCAAAGTTTAAACCCAGTGGTTAGAATTTTGTGTATTTTTAAATACTTTTTATCTTTTATGGTTTACATGCATTTTTTAAAAAACCAACTAAACCTTTTCTTTATATCAGAATATCTGATTACATTTATAATTCAATTGTGACTTGAACTGTATCTTACAGGAATGTTCAATTTCTATACATATTTTATAAGGTATTCAACCTGGTGTTTTCTTTCCATAATAACCTGTTTGATGTTGTTAGTGCTGTTAACATACAGCTGTGGAAAACCACACTCAGGAGTTGTATCTGTTGTTGTTTATACTCTTTTGGGTGCTGTGCTGGTTAGTCGTTTCCCAATCCTTTGGCTGTAAGAATGCTGGTGTGTCTGCAAATAGAATGGTATACCACGAAATACCAAATAATTTCAAATGGTGCCCTTAAATTGTATCACTTTTTTAAAAATTCAGATTCTTATTAGTAAAATTAGTTGATAGCACTATGCTGACCAAGTTGATCATGACCATCCCAGCTTAGACTTTTCGAAAAACCTTTTTTTAGAATAATATGTGACCTTTAGTATGCATTTCAGATATTTAGGTATATAATTTTTTTTTTTTTTTTAAGACGGAGTCTCACTCTGTCACCCAGGCTGGAGTGCAGTGGTGCTATCTTGGCTCATTGCAACCTCCACCTCCTGGGTTCAAGCGATTCTCCTGCCTCAGCCTCCCGAGTAGCTGAGACTACAGGTGCCCGTCACCATGCCTGGCTAATTTTTGTATTTTTAATAGAGATGGGGTTTCACCATATTGGCCAGGCTGGTCTTGAACTCCTGACCTTGTGGTCCACCTGCCTTGGCCTCTCAAAGTGCTAGGATTATAGTCGTGAGCCACCACGCCCAGCCTAAGTGTGTGTGTGTGTATAATATATATATGTTTTTATATATATAAATTATATATATTTTATATATATATATATTTTTGGAGATGGAGTTTTGCTCTTGTTGCCCAGGCTGGAGTGCAATGGCGTGATCTTGGCTCACCGCAACCTCCGCCTCCCAGGTTCAAGCAAAAGTAGCTGGGATTATAGGCATGCGCCACCATGCCTGGCTAATTTTTTTTGTATTTTTAATAGAGATGAGGTTTCTCCATGTTGCTTAGGCTGGTCTTGAACTCCTGACCTCAGGTGATCTGCCCACCTCGGCCTCCCAAAGTGCTGGGATTAGAGGTGTGAGCCACTGTGCCCAGCCTATAATTTTTGATAGATGATTTTGAATTATTTTCCGGAGATAAAATTTTAAATGTTTCCATTATATCACTGATTTATTTCTGCAAATTGAATAAATTCTTAATTTTCTGCATGCTGCACATAATACAAAAGGTATTTTCGTAGCTTTTGGATTTATACCAAATGAAAAGGACTCTCGAGCACCTTTAACTGATTTTTCTGTGTTAAATTTTTAACAATTTGTTCTTGGAAGTCAGTGTACTTAATTCATAAAGGCAAGTTTGTCAGTATTTTCACAAAACAAAACTATTCAGCTGAATCCAGAAGGTGAAATAGCAAGAATTTGCATTGTAAAATTGTGTTATAAAATTGGACTTTGAAATTTTAAAAATAGGAAAAATTTTCACGTGTATTTATACTGAATACCATTTTAGGAAACCAGGATCAGAGTGTTTCTGTTGGTGTTGGCATTAACTAGCTGGATGTAAATTTGAAAAGCCACTCAGAAAGTTTCCTAGTCTAGAAAGTCAGAGGTTTAGATTAGATTTCCGCCATCCCTTCCATTTCTGACCTGTGGTTCTTGTCTGGAATTCTGCTTTGTTATAAACTATTGTTCTAAGGAGTTCGTTGTGATAGCACATAGTTCATTTTGTAAAGATTCCCTGTATATAAAGTGATGCCCTACATGTGTGACTTTGTATTAAATGTATATAGGATCATTATTTTATTTTGAAAATTTTAAATACAGAAAAGTATAAAATATAAGTACCATCCGCCCAGAAATAACATCTGTTAATGTTTTGTCATATGTGCTTCATAGTTTTTGAAATAAAGTGAAGTCAACTAGTATTTATAGTAAATAAGTTATATACACATAAGTACATATAGGATATTTAATCCTTACAACGATCTTTTGATATGTGACCATTTCTTATTCTTGTTTTACAGACAAGGAACTAATGATATGATAGATTAACTGGCCATTGTCACACTAGCAAGTGGCAAAACAAGGGATTAGGATCTTGGTCTCTTGGACTGTTAGATTCTATACTTCCATCCTGTGTTGACTTTGTTAATGGATTGGATAATGTGAGATCACTCTGATGTAAATAAAGTATTCTATATTAATTTTGAGTGCATTTTAAGTACTCGTAACATAAATGCTTCCTGTGAAATATCTGTAAAGACCTGAATGGGTACATATGTGTAAAGAAGAATCAGGGCAGAAGAGTGCTTTTATCATGGCTCCAGGGACCTTAGGTTCAGTTGGTGTGAGAATTCCTCACACAAGGACATTCTCTTGCTTCAGCATCAGGATGGAAGTGTTTCCCATCTGGACTTTTTCAAAGACTCAGCTGAAGGAATACAGAATTCATAATTTCCTGGCAGCTTATGATTCTGCTACACTACACCATGCCATCTCTTGTGTGAAAGGACAAATTTGATGGAGGACTACGTCATCCCTCATGCTTTTCTTATTGTCTACATTTATTCTAATGGGAAGAAGTGAGCAAAAACACCTCAATAATTTGGGTAGTTTTTAGAAAACGTTGTGTTAGTAAATTAGAATAGTGCTACTTTGGCATTATGAGAAAGAAGCATGGATACATAACTAGGTTTGTGTATGACTACAACAAAATGCAGAATGGTGTCTCCAAAAGGTTTCCAGTTGCTGCCACAAGACCTGCTTGGTATTGCGTACATGTGTTGTCCTATTTTTGCTTTGCCCTTCTGAAGTTACTTGCTGTGGGACCTTGGAGAAATTAACTTAGCCTCTCTGTACTTCAGTTTTTTGTATCTGTAAAATATATTTGTAATAATCTAATAAGGAGGTAGTTAATGTGTGACTCAGTCCTTGTCTAAAAGTAAATATGCCTAGCTACCCCTATCTTTCAAAGCCAGAAAGTAAAACTTTAACAAGTTTTCTAAAAGCAAATTTTGAGTTTTTTTTTTTTGTTTTGAGATGGGAGTCTCTGTTGCCCAGGCTGGAGTGCAGTGGCGCAACCTCGGCTCACTGCAAGCTCCGCCTCCCGGGTTCACGCCATTCGCCTGCCTCAGCCTCCCGAGTAGTGGGGACTACAGGTGTCTGCCACCACGATCGGCTAAATTTTTTTTTTTTTTTTTGTATTTTTTAGTAGAGACGGGGTTTCACCGTGTTAGCCAGGATGGTCTCGATCTCCTGACCTCGTGATCCAACCCACCTCGGCCTCCCAAAGTGCTGGGATTACAGGCGTGAGCCACCGCACCGCGCTGCAAATTGTGGTTTTTTTTTTTTTGAGACGGAGTCTCACTCTGTCGCCCAGGCTAGAGTGCTGTGGCCGGATCTCGGCTCACTGCAAGCTCCGCCTCCCGGGTTCACGCCATTCTCCTGCCTCAGCCTCCTGAGTAGTTGGGACTACAGGTGTCTGCCACCTCGCTCGGCTAGTTTTTTTTTTTTTTTTTTTTTAGTAGAGACGGGGTTTCACCGTGTTGGCCAGGATGGTCTCGATCTCCTAACCTCGTGATCCGCCCGTCTCGGCCTCCCAAAGTGCTGGGATTACAGGCTTGAGCCACCGCGCCCGGCCGCAAATTGTGTTTTTTAAAGTGCATGTATCATCCAATCCCATATGATTGATCTGTGCTGGGTGCAGCCTTAGAGCCTAGAATTCTTTTGAATTCTAGGCAGAGAATGCAGGATTGGCATTCTAAATATTTGTACGTGATAAACAAATGCTTCTTTAGGTTAGAGCAAATACTTACATATCAAGATTAAGATTGTTAGATACTGTTGTCAATTACAGAGGTTTTAGATGAGGCTTTCTGGAATGATTTAGTTTCCCTGTAAGGGAATCAGCTCTCCCAGTCTTTCAAGTTGCATGCTTTTTATATCTATTTGATTCCATTGGCTGAGCTGATTGTGAATGTCCTAACCCTGTTGATTGTGTCTGGCCACTCGTGGGCAAAGAGCAGATTTATTCCATTCTTTATAGTTATAAAAGACATATAGTCTATATGTCTTTTAGTTTTACAATTTGAAAAAACATCTGAGTAGGTTGGATAATTTATTCTACCACTTGTACATGATTAGAATATGTCAGTCATAATCACGCCAAGAGATTATGGATTTATGCATATTTTGTTTTGCTTTAGTACCATTCCTAGTTGAATCTTAACATCCATGTCTAAAATCTATACAGAGCAAATATTACAGTTAGGAAAACTGTTTTAGTCTCCTCTCTGCAAATATGCTTTACATTTATTGGGGAATCCTCTATCCTTTTCCTGATTTTCCTTAAAGTCTTCCCAGGCTGATGGATAACAAACATATACAAGAAACTTGGGACTTGGGATTCCTCTAGGCTGTTTGTCCTAGAGGAATGCATCCCATCTTGCAAATAGGATGGTCAATTAAGATGGAAGGAAGCAAAAGTGTGGATAGGAAGGAAGGGCACAAACGGAAAAGTGTGGAGTTTGGGTGTGAGTCCTCTAATGAGGTCAAAGGTGGGAGGGAGGCAAGTATGGAAGCTTCCTGGCACTGTGATACTAATTTCCCCTCCTCTCCCTTTTAAAATCGTGTTCATGCAAAGCCAACACAAATAACTAAATAAAATCTTGTCTTCTGGGAGGAAATGAGACTGATTACAGAGCTGCCACTAAGCCCTGTAGGGTTGGTGGAGACAACCCCATTTTACACATTAGTTCATAGACTTGGTGTGACTTGCTTGAGGTCACCCAGCCACTATGTCAGAACCTGATTTTAAATCCAGGGCTGTTCTTTCCACTGCTATGCAAGATACCTTCTGTTTATATTTTTGAGGGAGACAACAGAGATGGGAAGAATTTTTAACAATAAAGGCAACGGAGGGGATGAATATGCTGATGGGGAAGGAAAGAGGCCCCAGCTTCTGCAGTTGCTTTCTGTTATTCCTAATCCTCTTCTCATCTGGGGGTGCACTGCCTCTCCATTTCTCAAGTATGGGAAATGCCAATAATTCCACTTGTGTTAATTGGCAGTCAGACAACTTGTCCAAAACTAAATTGATCTTACCCACCCCACCAACATTTCAATAATTGCGACCCCAACCTTTCAGTTGCTCAGCTGAAGACTTTGGAGGTATCCTTGATTCTTTTCTCATAACACACATCCAGTGTATCAGTAAGATTTAGAATTCAGTCACTTCTCACCAGCTGCTGGTCCAAGCCATCACAATCCCGGCAAAGTTCTTAACAATGCTCACAGCCTCTCCTCCCCACCTTACCCTTCTGATTGTAGCTGCCATCACTCATCCCCTGCTCACTCCTGCAGTCGTCAAAGACCCCAATGCACTTCTAACGGGGCCTTTGCACTTGCAGCTGTCTTTGTCTGAAGAGCTTTTCCCCTAGATATCAGCAGGGTTAACACCCTTCCTCATTCAGGTCATGGCTTAACTGTCTTCTCAGCGAGGACTCCTCTGGCCACCCTACTTTATTTTTTTTTTGAGACGGAGTCTCTGTCACCCAGGCTGGAGTGCAAGGTGCGTCCTTGGCTCGCTGCAACCTCTGCCTCCCGGATTCAAGTGATTCTCCTGCCTCAGCCTCCCGAGTAGCTGGGATCACAGGCGCTTGCCAGCACACCCGGCTAATTTTTTTGTATTTTTAGTAGAGACAGAATTCACCATGTTGGCCAGGCTGGTCTCAAACTCCTGCCCTCCGGTGATCCATCCCCGCTAGGCCTCCCAAATCACCATGCCTGGGATTACAGGCGTGAACCATCGCACCCGGTCTAGCCATCCTATTTTAAACTGTCAACTTTTCCCCTTCAATGCTTAGTTTTTCTCCACAGCACTATCACCATTTCATATAGTATATGTTTTTCTTCATACTTACTCCCCTTGGAGAAAAACTCCACGAGAGTAAGGATTTTTGTCACTTTTTCATTGCTATTTCCTCAGTGCTTAGACATGCATCAGGCTCAAAGTAGATGCTCAATGTTTGCTGAATGAACAGCAAGAGCAACGGAGGAGTCCTGAAATACACAGCAAGAAGCAAGGATAACTCTGGCCTTACTTCTGTAGCCAGGGTCTTTTATCTCAACTTTTTAGAGGTAGAAAAACAAGATCGAGGCCGGGCGCAGTGGCTCAAGCCTGTAATCCCAGCACTTTGGGAGGCCGAGACGGGCGGATCACGAGGTCAGGAGATCGAGACCATCCTGGCTGACACGGTGAAACCCCGTCTCTACTACAAAATACAAAAAACTAGCCGGGTGAGGTGGCGGGCGCCTGTAGTCCCAGCTACTCGGGAGGCTGAGGCAGGAGAATGGCGTAAACCCGGGAGGCGGAGCTTGCAGTGAGCGGAGATCCGGCCACTGCACTCCAGCCTGGGCCACAGAGCGAGACTCCGTCTCAAAAAAAAAAAAAAAAAGAAAAACAAGATCGAGCTCCTCAGAACCCAGGTCGACGGCTGCAGAGCCTTCGACCTTCCGAGAGCGAATGGCGATCACTGTTTTCCAGTTCTCTGCGAAGTCCAGCTGGAAGACAATCCCTTTCCGCGCCCCAACTCAGCGGCGGGCATGCCCTGCACCAGAGCGCCCCACTCCGGCAGCTGCCGCCTGCACCATCCGGAACGTTTCGCCTTGGCCGCAGCGCGAGGCGGAATGACTTCCGGGGCGCCTCTAAAGCGGCGGGGCGGAGTTTCCGGCTGAGAGTCCTTCTAGCCGGGCCGGTGAGTCCGCGGATGGAAGTCTGTGTGGCGCAGAGGTGGGGCAGGCTGTTTGGCTAGGTAGGCGGCTGGGAGGGTTTTCGTGGCGGGAACGGAGGCTGAACTGCCCTGCCTGTGCTCATAGGGAAGGAGGATGTGAAGGAGCTTGTGAAGGCAGAGGAAGGTAACTTTCGTGTGGGGAGCCGTAGAGTAGGGAGGGAGGCTGCAGGCCGTCCCTCCCTAAGTAAAAGCGCGACTTTTAGAAATGATGGTTCAGGGTTCGAGTTTGTGACCCGCTTGAGAAAGTGACCACCCTCTGAGCCTGAATCCCATACCTGAAAAACAAGGACAGTAATCAGTCTTGCCAGTTTCACATAGCTTGGTAGGATAAGGTGTGAAGAAAAGCTTCTTAAATTGGGATGTTTGGTGCTCTCATTTGTTTCCAGAGAGCATTCCGAGCTCATGTAACGGGAATCACACCAGTAGGCTTATGCTGAGGAATGTGGATTGTTTGGGGTTAGATTCCAGGAAACAGATCACTTAATTTCCCCCCGCCCCCAAGACGGAGTCTCGCTCTGTCGCCAGCCTGGAGTGCAGCGGCGGGATCTCGGCTTACTGCAACCTCCACCTCCCGGGTTCAAGCGATTCTCTTGCCTCAGCCTCCTGAGTAGCTGGAACTACAGGCGCGCGCCACCACGCCTAGCTAATTTTTGTATTTTCAGTACAGACGGGGTTTCACCATGTTGGCCAGGATGGTCTCGATCTCTTGACCTCGTGATCCTTCCGCCTCAGCCTCCCAAAGTGCTGGGATTACAGGTGTGAGCCACCCGCCCGGCCTCACTGATATTTTTAAGAAGAAGATGGACTCTTGGGAAATGATAGGCCATTGGAGATCTTTACAAAGTCAATCTTCAAGATGCATGAATCCTTTAAACAGCATGCATGTTTACAGTCAGACTCCCCATTGAACGTCTGCAGTTTTAGGGACCTTAATACCTCCTGTCCAGTCTCTGATTTCCCATTGCAGGCAGCTCTAATTAAGAAGTCCTTTTAGCCGGGCGTGGTGACTCATGCCTCTAGTCCCAACACTTTGGAGGGCCGAGGTAGGAGGACCAGTTGTGATTAGGAATTCGAGACCAGGCCTGGCCAACAGGCTGGTGAAACCCCGTCTCTACTAAAAAAAAGTTAACTGTGGTGGCATGCGCCTTAATCTCAGCTATGCCGGAGACAGAAGAGGTAGTGGAATCGCTTGAACCCTGAGGTGGAGGTTGCAGTGAGCTGAGATCGTGTCACTGCACTCCAAGCTTAGGCGACAGAGCAAGACTGTCTCAGAAAAAAAAAAAAGGAAAAAAAAGAAGTCCTTTGATACGATCATCCAAAAGTCTCTCAGTTGCTATTTATTTTTATATTTATAATATATATTATATATTTATATTATTTCTTTTGAGACAGGGTCTCACTATGTCACCCGGTCTGGAGTGCAGTAGTGAACATGACTCACTGTAGCCTTGACTTGCTTGGGCTCAAGCCATCCTCCCACTTGAGCTTCCCAAGTAGCTGGGACTCAAGTACTCGCCACTTCGCCCAGCTAATTTTTTGATGTTTTGTAGAGACAAGGTTGCCCAGGCTGATCTGAGCTCCTGAACTCAAGCGATCCTTTTGCCTTGGCCCCCCAAAGTGCTGGGATTACAGGTTTGAGCCACTGTGCCCTGCCAAGAATTTGAGTTTTAAAACATTGAGAACGTTATGTGAGTTTTTCGTTTTTGAAGTTCGCAATATGTAACAGAAAACAGGGAAGAGCAAAATGTTCAGTTTAGGCTGGGTGCGGTGACTCACGCCTGTAATCCCAGCACTTTCAGAGGTCGAGGTGAGTTGATCACCTGAGGTCAGGAGTTCGAGACCAGCCTGGCCACCATGGCGAAACCCCATTTCTACTAAAAACACAAAAATTAGCCAGGTGTGGTGGTAGGCTCTTATAATCCCAGCTACTTGGGAGGCTGAGGCAGGAGGATCACTTGAACCCGGAGGCAGAGGTTGCAGTGAGCCGAGATCGCGCCATTGCACTCCAGCCTCGGTGGTGAGTGAAACTCTGTCTCCAAACAAAAAACAAAGAAACAAAAATGTTCCATTTATGAGCAGATCACTTGAGGTCAGGAGTTCGAGATCAGCCTGGCAAGTCAGGCGAAACCCTGGCTCTACAAAAATACAAAACATGGCGAAACCCTGACTGTACTAAAAATACAAAAATTAGCTGGGCATGGTGGCACGCACCTGCAATCCCAGCTACTCGGGAGGCTGAGGCAGGAGAATCACTTGAACCCGGGAGGCAGAGGTTGCAGTGAGTCAGGAGGTGGTGGAGTGGAGAGGGAGATTGCATTGGGGAGGGTGGAGGTATGATGAGGACATTTATTTATGAATGAATGAATGAATGAATGAATGACAGAGTCTTGCTCTTTCACCCAGGCTGGAGTGCAGTGGCACGATCTTGGCTCACTGCAGTGTCTACCTCCTAGGTTCAAGCAATTCTCCTACCTCAGCTTCCTGAGTAGCTGGGATTATAGGTGTGCACCACCATGCCCTGCTAATTTTTGTATTTCTAGTAGAGATGGGGTTTCACTATGTTGGCCAGCCTGGTCTCGAACTCCTGACCTCAAATGATCTGCTGGCCTCGGCCTCCCAATGTGCTGGGATTACAAGCATGAGCCACCGTGCCTGTTTCTCTCTCTCTCTCTCTTTCTTTCCTTTCTTTTCTTTCTTTTTGAGGTAGGGTCTCACTCTGTTGCCCAGGCTGGAGTGCAGTGACATGATCTTGGCTCACTGCAGCCTCCGTGCCTCCTGGGTTCAAGCAGTCCTGTCTCAGCCTCCCCAGTAGCTGGGATTGCAGGCGCCCGTCCCTACCAACCTCCTAGCTAATTTTTGAATTCCTGACCTCAAGTGATCACCTGCTTCAGTCTCCCAAAGTGCTGGAATTACAGGTGTGAGCCAGCATACCTGGCCTGGTTTTGTTTTTGTTTTTGTTTTTTGTGACTCACTGCAACTTCTGCCCTCCAGGTTCAAGCAATTCTCCTGCCTCAGCCTCCCTAGTAGTTGGGATTACAGGCACCTGCCACCATGCCCAACTAATTTATGTATTTTTAGTAGAGACGGGTATCGCCATGTTGGCCTGGCTGGTCTTGAACTCCTGACCTCAGGTGATCCGCACCTTGGCCTCTCAAAGTGCAGGGATTACAGGGATGGAGCCACCGCACCTGGGCCTGGCCTGTGTTTGTTTGTTGTTTTGTTTTGTTTTCAACTTTTATTTTCAGGGAGTACGTGTGCATGTTTGTTACATGGATAAATTGCTTGTTGTTGAGGTTTGGTGTACAAATGATCCCGTCACCCTGGTAGTAAACATAGTACTTAATAGGCAGTTTTTCAACCCTCACTCTCTCTCATTCTTCGTCGTCTAGTAGTCTCCAATGTCTGTTCTCATCGTTATGTCCATGTGTACTCAGTGTTTTGCTCCCATTTGTAAATGAGAACATGCTTTATTTGGTTTTCTGTTCCTGTTTTTTTTAGGCCAGAGTGCAGTGGCACGATCTCGGCTCACTGCAGCCTCTCTGCCTTCCAGGTTCAAGAGATTCTCCTGCCTTAGCCTCCCAAGTAGATGGGATTACAGGTGCTCACCACCACGCCTGGCTAATTTTTTTGTAGTTTTAGTAGAGACAGGGTTTCACCATGTTGGCCAGGCTGATTTCGAACTCCTGACCTCAGGTGATCCACTTGCCTCGGCCTCCCAAGTGCTAGGATTACAGGCGTGAGCCACTGCGTTGGGACTCTGTTCCTGTTAATTCAATGAGGATAATGGCCTCCAGCTGTATCCATGTTGCTGCAAAAGACAGGATTTCATTGTGGGGTTTTTTTGTTGTTTTTTTTTGGCTGCTAGTATTCCATGATATATTAGGTACCACATTTTCTTTATCTAGTGCACCACTGATGAGCATCTAAGTTGATTCAGTGTCTTTGCTATTTTGGATAGTGCTGTGATTAACGTGAGTGCATGTATACTTTTGGTAGAATGATTTTATTTTCCTTTGGGTATATACCCAGTATTGGGATTGTTGGGTCGACATACATTTGTCCAATAAATATATGAAAAAATGTTCAACATCACTGATCATTAGAGAAATGCAAACCAAAACCACAATGTAAATCAAAACCGCGGAACCATCTCACCACCTGTCAGAATGGATATTATTAAAAAGTCAAAAAATAACAGATGTTGGCAAGGTTGTGGAGAAAAGGGAATGCTTATCCACTATTGGTAGGAATGTAGATTAGTTCAGCCACTGTGGAAAGCAGTTTGGAGATGTCTCAAAGAACTATGTTTAATTTTGTGTCCTTTTTTTTGAATTATGAGCCATAGCATTTACCCATTTATAAATAATAAATGTGATTTTAAAACTTTTGATTTTGAGAAAATTCAGACATACACAAAAAGAGATATTACAATGAATCACATGTCACTCAGCTGTAATAGTTTATACCCATACTGACTCCTCACAATTCTACAGTCATGTGTCATGTGACGCATCTATAAAGCATCTATAAAGCAGTTTTGTCATGTGACACATCTATAAAGCATTTTTGTTCTTTTACAAATCGTAAAAAGATGCTTATTTTTATTAGTACCAAGTTTGTGTATACATGTTCATATTATTTCTTGAAAATGAAAAATGGAGTTCTATGAAGATTTTTAATGACAATTATTGAGTAAAATACAAAGAATAAGATGACCTGGCATTCAATTTTTTTTACTTTATATATGTGTCTAATTTTCAAATTTAATTGGATGCATTTTGTAACAAACATCTTTAGATAACTTACATTCTAATGATTTTTACAGATTACTGAATAATAAAATACAGTTTTGAAAAAATGGATGAAGAACCTGAAAGAACTAAGCGATGGGAAGGAGGCTATGAAAGAACATGGTAAGGAGAGCATTATTGCCCTGTCTTTTCTTTTAGACATTGTCTTTTTTTTTTTTTACAACTTTATTAAAGTATATTTTACATTGTTAAAATTCACTCATTTCCAATGTACAATTCAGTGATTTTTTATTAATACTTTACTGAGCTGTGCAGCCATTATCATAAACCAGTTTTAGAACACTGTAACCACTCCAGTAAGATCCTTCATGTCCATTTACAATTAATTTAATCTTGATTTAATTCCACCTGTAGGCAATCATTAGTCTACTTTTTGTCTCTAAATTTTAACCTTTTCTGGACATTTCACAAAAATGTGATCATATACAATCATGCGCCGCATAATGATGTTTTGGTCAAAGATAGACTGTATATATATATATGACAGTGGTCCCATAATATTATAATACTGTATTTTTACTATACCTTTTCTATGTGTGTTTAGATACACAAATACTGACCATTGTGTTACAGTTGTCTTTAATATATTCAGTATAGTAACATGCTGTACAGGTTCGTAACCTAGGCGTGGGGTAGGCTATACCATCTAGGTTTGTGTAAGTATACCCTGTGATATGCACACAATAATGAAATCACCTAACAATGCATTTCTCAGAACGTATCCCTGTCAGTAAGCAATGCATGACTTATTATAGCATGGTGGTCTGCTGTGGCTGGCTTTCACTTATTTCTCATCCATGTTGCAGCGTGTATTGATACTTCATTCCTTTTTTATTGCTGAATAGTATTCCCATCTATGGTTATGCCACATTATTGTTTATCCACTCACTAGTCTGTGGATATTTAGGTTCTTTACGGTTTTTGGCTGTTAGGTAAATGCAGCCATGAACACTCATGCAAATCTTTGTGTGGACGTATATTTTCATTTTATTTGGGCTAGTAATCATTTTAGCTTGTCTTTTCAAACAAATAATTATGACTTATAGGGAGATTCTTAAAGAAGATGAATCTGGATCACTTAAAGCTACAATAGAAGACATTCTATTCAAGGCAAAGAGAAAAAGGTATGTAATCTTCCTACGTATGTTAAAAAGGTAAAATATATTCATTTTAAGCCTTTCTATCTATAAACACTCCTCAGTACTTCACTTCAGCTGTGTTTCAGGGAAACTGACCTATTGCCTTCTGACTATGGGGAAAGAACTAACCACCTACCCTTGCCTCAGCAGGAAATGGTCTTTAGAGACTATCTACAATACCTATAATTATGTGTATTGTATTCCATAAGTTAATTATTTACTCCACTAAAAATGCACATTATGACATTCTTAATCAGAATTAGAAAAAAAGAGAAAGCAGGTCAATTGGAAAGTTGTATTTTTTTCGTGTGTTCGGGGGGATAGTATATTGAATTCCATTAAAATGTTTGTATAATTTTAACAGAGTATTTGAGCACCATGGACAAGTTCGACTTGGAATGGTATGTCATTATTTTTTACTAGTACAGAACTAGTTTAGGTTAGAGAAATATTCTGACTTGCTAGAAAAAACAATAGCGAAATAACAAAGTTTTTAAAAGAATACATTAAAAATATGTGCATAGAATATGAAATTATTAAATGCTATTTTTACTAATCAAAATGGCACTTGAGGCTGGGCACAGTGGCTCATGCCTATAATCCCAGCACTTTGGGAGGCCAAGGCAGGAGGATTGCTTGAGCCCAGGAGTTTGAGACCAACATGGGCAACAGAGTGAGACCCAGTTTCTACAAAACAAAACAAGTACTTGAAATTGGCCCTTTCTTTTTTCTGGTAGATGCGCCACCTTTATGTGGTAGTAGATGGATCAAGAACAATGGAAGACCAAGATTTAAAGCCTAATAGACTGACGTGTACTTTAAAGGTAAAATTTAAATTTATACTAAATCATTTAAATTTATACTAAAATCACTTAAACTTCTACTAAGAAAGTGGGGAAGAACACTGGATTCTAAAGGATATTTTTAAAGAATGCAATATTTTTTATTTTTTGCCTTGTATTTTTAGTTAGTACTAATGATAGCTAAGTAGAAGTACTGCCAGGTCATTTAGGGAAATTTTAAACCAACATAGCTAATTATTTGTGTTTTTAATTTCTATCCTCCCACCCCACGTCAGGATCTTGGTTTGTCAGTTATCCCTTTTCTTTATTGAATCTTCATTCTCCTTTGCCTTACTTAAATCTGTCTCCTCAGATTACAAATATGTTCATATTATTCCTAATTTATCAAAACCTATTCTCAATTCTGCTCATTCTCCCATCTCTCTTCATTGGATCTTTTCCTCGTTGAAATTTTTTCTGACACATCCAAATGGTTCCATCTTTTAAAACCTAGCTCAAACCTATCTCATTACGCACCATTTCAAATTAAGGTTTTTACTGTTTAATATTTTTATTACTTAAAATTTTTTGAAAATCTGTAAGTTTAAAAGTCATAAGAAGTGATGCTTGAAACATCACTTGGACATGTTCTTTATGATTGTTATTTTGCCTTTATCT